CTTCTTCCTTCTTCCTGCTTCTTCCTTCGATTCTAGGGTTTCAAATATGAACCCTTTTTCTTCAACCAACTTCCAACGATTCTAGGGTTTCAAATATAACCTAAAAATGAGCTGTCCTTTTTGGTCATTTTGCATTTTGGTACCGCTATAAGCTAATCCAAACACTTTTTACAAAACTCCAGTTTGATACCGCATAAGTTAATAAGCACTTTTACAAAAAAGTATAAGTTGTTTTAAATAAGCTTACCCAAACACCCCCTTAGCGCTTTGTTTGTTATGAGCTTAATGAGACACACAACTTATTCATTGTGTTGGCTACATATGACTGTTTAGTAGTGGCTTAATGATATTGAAAATGACTTATTCAGTAAGCTTCTAAGGGAACTTTATACAGAAAACCAAGTTTTTTCCAAGTATGTCATTCCAAATTTAAAAATATGCTAATTTCGTCTATGAAAAAACTTTCTCACACAAAAACATTTTCTAGTTGCACAGATAAATTAATGTATGCATACATCTTTATTCATACAAGACTCAATGAAAAACCAACCAAACAACCCGTAATAAGCTGTTTATCAAATAAAATAAACATTTGTTATGCTAAAAAAAGAAATCATCCTTTCACAAAAAATAAAGAAAAAGGCAAAAACTTGTTAAATACGTTTTGCCGTTTCTTCCTGTACAAGTAATTGATTTGAATTTCAAAAGAAATAAAAACTTACACATTGAGTTAATATCCCATGATACCAATCTCGGCGAGAATATCTTTGCAGCGGGGATCGACTTCCTTCACCATGAATCCAATCGGATTCGCCATTCGAGTCTTACCTCTAACTCCATTTTTATCGGTTAACGAAACCCTAGAGCTGCTCTCATCGTCCATCACCTCCGGACACTTCTTATCGGGGCTTTCCGTCACTCTGACGTCACAAATCTCCTCCTCGTGGTCGCCGCTGGCGGTGATGCTGTACATGCCGTTAGAATCGCAGGTTCCTTCCACGGTGAAAGTTTCTGCGTCGTTCTCACGTTCACGGCAAGACAGGATTACTTTTGTGTTTGGAACAGGATAGCTGATTTTCGTCGGAAATTGAATCCGGCACGGATCGCAATAAACCTTTCCTTGTACTACGAACGACTCTCCTCCTCCTCCTCCGCCTCCGCCTTTTCGGCCGCCACCGCCGCCGTTGGATGGGGCGGGAGCAGGGGCAGGGGTTGGTGAGGCAGCGGTGGTGTTGCCGCGGCCGGCGATGGTGCCGGAGATTGATATGATAATGCAGAAGAGAGTTAAGACGGTGGCGCATGTGGCCATATTTTTTTGATTTTGTTTATAAGAAACGGAAATTTATGAAGTGGTGGTGGTGGTGGTGGTTGTGGTGGAGGTGGTGGTGAGATCGTCGGATTGAAAGGATGAAATGAGAATGGGGTTTTGATGTGGAAGGAGGAGGTTGGGAGGAAAAGGCGGGAAACATGGTTTGGTTTTTATTTTTAGAAATTTGTCACAAATATTTGAAATCATCGATTTTATTTCATTTCATTTCATTTATAACCACAAAATTGATTAAATTAGTATGAGATTGAAACTGGAAAAACAAAAAAATATATATATATACATATATATATATATATATATAATAAGTTAATCATTCTATGTTAAGATGCGAAATTTCAATATCATATATGATTATATTTCTTTAAGTGTGTTTAATCATACATGATTAAACGTCTATATTGTCAATCCAACATATGTTTAATCATATATGATTAAGCTGTGAGGGTAACCTGGCTTTTTTATAAAAATGCCATCAAAGTGAAAGTGGRTGAATGCAGGTGGATGGAAGTACTCACATCTGTTAGAACCAAGCCACTAAAAGCAAAACTGATCCCAAGGCTCGGAAATATTATCACTATTATCACTAAACTCGTTTTTTTGTTAAGGTATTTTAAGCTATGTCTAAACTAATCCTGATAAATTGTAACCGCAAGAAATCAACCATGATAAACTCGGTGACCACAATTATTGTATACAATTTTTTTTTTATTCTCATTCAACTCCTATCATTTTCATTCCCCTAAGTGAACCAAACATCCTTAAATAAAATTTATTATCAGATAAAATAATAAAATCAGTTACATAGTATTTTAATTATTTTAATTCAGCCAATAAAGTGAAAATAAGAATGAATTTTCATTCCCATTTAACCAGAAATGAAAATTCAGACTTGTAGGCGTATACGACTATGGGTGAAGATGGTACGGTATCATGTTTTTTTTTTCTTCATATACCATGTACTAATATGTTATAATTGGGGGTTGGGTTACGATGCGAATGAGAGTTAATCTGAGAAATGTAAAAAAAGATCTCCATCATTGAATGTACATTGGGATGAGATGCATCACATCAATCCCCGTATCAAACACGATTAATGGGTATGTTTGAGATTAGTACGATTAAGGGTTCAAATTACTTCTTACGCTTCTCACTTTGACTCTTTTTTTCACACGATCATTCATCTTATAAATGGTATCGTAAAATTTTATATCATATACCAACTAACTAAATTAATACCAGCTTTATGCCAATTATTATACAATATCAAAACAATTTATTCTACTTTCATTATTACTAACTAAAGCTAGAAGGATACTCGTGCAATGCATCGAGACACATCTCGATTTTGGTGTTTCATTTTATTCTTTTTTTATGTCAATATAATATGGTTTTATGTGGTTTTGAGAACGYAATAATGTTTTTATTTTTGAATAAAATATAAATTTGAAAATATTATAAAATTTTGAAAAAAAAAACATCGATATCAGTATCAAATTAATTTTTTTTTAAAATTATTGTTTTTGGTGAAATTTCCTTAATTCAATTTTTTTATTATAATTTAATTTAGGTTTAGTAACGAAATAATTTAATAATATAATGTTTATAAAGATAATAACTAAGTATTCTGTTAGAACTCAATAATTATGTTAATTATATTTTAGATTTTTTATATTTAAAATGAGATGTTTATCTAATATTTGATTATGTTTATCTACAGTTAGTTACATGAATTCAAATATAAAGCTTTAATAAGTTGTTAATATGCACAATTTACTTGTAATCTTAAATTTTAAATAATATGCATCAATAAACAGCACTTCATACATAAAAAAAAATGGGTTTTAATTTTTTTTGTCAAATGTTCTATAATAACCAAACACAACTAATTAAAAGAATTATATTATTGGTTTGAAATTAATAATTTTAATTTTCGGTTAATTTAATTTTTCTTTTTGCAGTTACATATATACTATATAGTAACAAATTTATGGAGAAAACCCTCAATTAAGTGTTTAAGAAATTCTCACGACTAACTTGATCGCCGCCGGCGAGGGTTTGCTGGCGTTTCTCGTCTACTCCGTCGATATAAAATTTCTGGATCGGAAACGATGGTGTACATTGTATCATGGGATGATTTTGTTGAAAGATCCGTTCAGTTGTTCCGCTCTAATCCCGAAAAAGTATGGTAATCTACTTCAAATTTCAATTTATTTGGTTTTTAATCTGATTCATTGTATTTCGGATCTAAATCATGATCTTGTATCTTTGTCTGATTACTGTTCGTCGATAATTTGGATCGCAGACTCGTTATGTGATGAAATACAGACATTCTGAAGGTAAATTGGTTCTCAAGGTCACTGATGACAAAGAGGTATTCTCATTGGTGTGTGTATGTATGTAAAATTGTGCTTCCTACGAACGTTTGGATTACACAGAAATTGATGTTTGCTGTATGTGTTCACTGGATTTGTTTCTATGGGGGGCAATTTGTTGATGATTAGCACTCTTTCTATAAGGGAAAGATGGATTATACTTTTAGTCTAGGAATCAAACATGTTTAGCTTTTAGCCGATAAATTGATATGAAATCCAACCTTTCGAAGTTAACATGTTACCTTTTTGGAGAATCTGTTGGAGTAAAAATTTGCCTAAAATCTCCGTTTTCTTCATTTAGGAGAATTTGTTGGAGATGCTCTAACAATTCAGCTATTAATAATTTAGAACCTAAATGTGAGCATGAAAAGCTCAAGTCGCTCTGTTTGGATTTCCTGCTAGGCAATCCTTTTACGTTGGTTGATCCAATTAAACTTGTGAAAACTCTTTTCAGTAGAACTCCATGCTCCTTTAAGTGATTATCACCAAAATTTGTTATGCTCTCATGTGAAATGCTTTATTAATGCCTTAGAGTCCGTTAGTTAGCAGCTTAATGAGTTTAATAGGACTCAAAACTTATTCGGTCAGCTATGCCTATATATGACTGTTTGGTAGTGGCTTAATGATATAGAAAATGGTTTATTTAGTAAGCTTCTAGAGGTAGCTTTTTGCAGAAAGCCAAGTTTTTTTTCCTCCAAACCTACCCYTCCCAATGAAAAAACATGCTCCTTCCATCTAGGAAAAACCATCCTAAAGAAAAACCTCTCAATCTATACAAACAGATTAATCCACAGTCGACATAGACAACTTTATCCATACATCACATAATGGAAAAGCAACAAAACAGCCCTTTAGTGGGATATATTTATTTTTTTGTAAGAGTTAGAAAGTTTTTAAACATTGGTGTTACAAATGATCATGCAATTCAAGACTTCAAGCCTATGTTTATTGTCAATCACAATTAGGAATTTCTTGGTCACTATTGAATGATCCCAAGCATATACATCCATCTCAGATTAAACTCTGAAGTTCTCCTGTAGGCTGTAGCAATTGAAAGTTTGAAACTACTATCCCCTATGTTAATGAGCCAAATACTTTGGTTTGTCAATTTTGATACTGATAAATTGGTGCTCCAAAATAATTTCGAAATTGTTGCAATAACACCAACACACACACACACACACACACATAGAGAGAGAGAGAGAGGGAGGTTCCGGGGAAAACCCAAAAAAAAAAATGAAAACCTGAGGAACACCCTGATAACCGCCTAATGTCATTTGTATGATGTACACATGTGCATACAGGCAATTAAAGTTGTTTCTTGGTTTCTATGCACGTGTGCATGTTATGCACATGTGCATATCGGACAAATTACTTGTATGCACATGTGTATACCGTACAGATGAATGGTTACCAGGGTGTTCCTCAATTTTCAATTTTTTTGCGGTTTTCCCACACACACACACACACACACACACACAYATATATATATATATATATCTTATTATCATGTATCATAAATTAAATTGAATAGCAATTTTTCCTTGGAAAAGTTTGGATTTCGTATCAATTTTACTGCTAAAAGGTAAAATGTTTGATGCCTAGACTGAAAGTATAGTCCATCATTCCCTTGTGATTTTTGTAATATACACTTAATTTTATGGTCAATAGTGTAGTGTTGCCTTCTTTGCATTTCAGATTTATCTTCGGTTTACAGGACTTGAGTTCCTAACACCATATGGCACTTTAGCTGGACTGTTTGTAATTTAACATTCATGGCACTGGCTGGACTGTGAAAAATCAAAATCAACTGCCTAAGAAATGGGTGTGTATGTCTTCTTTATCTTGAAAAATGACCATGTTGCGCAGTGGCTACCTCTCATCAGGGAAGGACCCACTATGGTGCATACAGTGGCATGGGCCACCTCTTCATTCCTCCGTTGTAGTGTAAAAAGTTTTAAGGTCGTTAAAGGTGCCATTGTATTATTTGGTTGGTGCAACCATATATTACTAGAAAGTGGTACAACAATAATAACAAAGTTTCTCTTGGTAGAGTTGGTTTGCACGGTCTTCTCTAGGCGTGGGTTCAAATCCCATTTGTATCATTTTTTTTTTGTTTTCAGTTTTTAGCTTTTAATTTCAAGTTTATTATGTTTCCGGAAATTTTTTGGGATAAAAGCAAGGAAATAACCAGAGATCAAACAATGATTTTGTAAAAAGCATCCTTAATTTTGTTGTTAATAGTCAAATGGTGGCGAATTGACCAAAATAACCAATCTTCCCAACCAATTTTAGCAACTTTTTCAATTGAATTCTCATTTTCGCCAGAGTTTACGCAAATGCCTTAGCATTTGCATAAACTCGATTTTCAGATTAAAAAAATCCTTATGCAAATTTGTGTATTTGCGTAACGATTTTTTTCCTTTTTCTTTTTAATCTGAAAATAGGTTTTATGGCATTTGCTTAAAATCTTGCTAAAATGGGAATTCGATTCGGGAGATTGGCTATTTTGGTCAATTTCCCCAAATGGTGCCGCCACTTGAAAAAAAGTTAGGTCTGCCTCTGACTTATAGCTTCTCTATGGATTGATATGTTGTAGTGTCTCAAGTTTAAGACCGATCAAGCACAAGATGCTAAGAAGATGGAGAAGCTTAACAACATATTCTTTACTCTGATGGCTCGAGGTCCTGAAGGTATTACCCTTTCTTTTTCTTCTTTCTTCTTTCTCAATTGCGTTTTCTGTTTATGGGGTCTTCTTTTGGTGGTTAGTCGAACTCTAATAAGTAGGTATGGCTAGAAATTAAATAGGAAAAGCATGACCATAATGTTTCGAAACAAAACCCGTATTAAAAAATACTAACTTTGCTTACCCTAACTTTGCGGTTGCGGGCCAGCTCAGACAAATAAAGGCTAGGCCTTAGGACTCTTCCCCATAGGTCGCTAGTTTGAGTTCGGCCATGGAGGATTTTCCAGCATACAACATGCAAGCTGGTCCGGACACTCACAATTACCAAAAAGAACTTTGTTTACCGTAAACGAAGCATGATATTGAATATCTGGAATTCTGGATTGATGCATGTTGTAAGCTAGGGGTGTTCGTGGTTCGGTTTGGGTGGTTTAACACCCCCCACCCCCAAAACCAGAAATCAAACCGCAATGGCGGTTTAGGAAATTTTCCAAAATGGGCGGTTTGGCATCAAGTGACCAAACCAGTCAAACCAAACAACAAAAGGCGGTTTAGTCTAACTGGTTGAGGTGGTTTAGGAGTTGTTTACCAAGCATCTACCCGGTAAGTGCTTACTGGTAAAATTCAATATTATCACTTACTGGGTAAGATTTTAGTTGAGGCGGTTTGAACCTATTATGGGCTTTAAAACATAAAAAACATACGTTGATTTTCAAAATTAAACCTCTACTAATATACACCATAAAAAATACTATACCAAATCATAAAATAATCATGTATCTAGTTAGAGAAGCGATCTTGGCATTTTGCCTGTTTAGGGAACGCGGACAATTGGGAAATGAAAACTAAAAACCTAATGCCTTGGCGGTCGGTTCGATTCAAACCACAGACCGGATGAACGGTTGTCTGGCTACTTTTCAAAAGGGACCGGACCGCCAGACCATTCAAAGAGACAAAAGCGGTCTGGTTTGACTTTGATGGACCGATTTGAGCGCGTTTTTTGAACACCCCTATAATGTGGGCCTTTAACCAAAAGCCGTGTTATCTGAAAGGAAAATAAATAACGATTTATACTGGTTTTTACGTACAATGTATAAGTTGGGAGTTGGTAGGGGTTTTGCATGGAAAAATAATGTGGACAACTTTCTCTCTTTTGCAGTTGATGTAACAGAAGTCACTGGAAAAGAACAAACAGCACAACCTGCCAAGAGAGGGAGGGGAAGGAAGCAATAGCATGCATTTTGATCCGCAGCTGTTCACTTTTAAGCCATTCCATTGTTGGTTACAAATAGAATAGTATTTTCGTTTGATTTTGTATGAATTGGGGCATAATAAGTATTCCGCTGTCAACCGTTCGTATTTCACACTTTTTACATGCTAGGGGTCTTAATGGAAACAACCGCTCTACTATTTGAGGTAGACGTAAAGTCTGCATGCATCTAATGTCCATGAGTCTTATTCTCCCTTTCATACACTTTTCACAAACCCTTTATGGAAACAACCGCTCTACTCTTTGAGGTAGAAGAAAGGTACGTATACATCTAATGGGTCTGAGAATCTTAGGTGGCATTTGGTTCGTTGGATCCGGCAGAATCTGAAGGAATTTGAATGGTCAATTCCGTTGACGAAAAATTGTATTCTCGCATTTGGTTTATTCTTTGAGTTTTGGTATGGAATTCAAATTCCATGTATGATGGAATGTAAATTCCTTCATGGAATTTGAATTCCACCAACGTTCCACTACCACTGTTGCTGCCTCCGATGGTGCCTACTACCACCACCACGACTGCCACTACCACTACTACTCCTCTTTCATACATTGACAGGCAAACTATTAAAAAAATTCACATTTATGTAGTGCCTAAATTGACAACACTTCAAATCCATCCAATCAAACACATGAGTTTTAACTTTTAGTCGGTCTCTGTATTGAAATTAGGTACGTTTGGCCTATTAGAAGTCGATTCATATGGTTATCTCTCTCGTCGATGTTTGAATACCATGATGGCACTCATCACACCCTGTTCACAAATATTCGGCATTGATTTTCTAGGTATCTTAGCCCTTCGACACTCTTGAAAGAAAAAAGTGAAATTCTATCTAATTATGTAAAAAAAGTGAAATTCTATCTAATTATGCAAATTGGAGATAAAACAAGTAAACGAACCTGTGACAGAAGTAAGAAGCGATCAAGTCAGCATCCACACAGAAAAACGGTTAAGGGGAATGAAGCCTGGTCCGAAATCATTCAAACCCATTTGAATCTTGATCTAATGAACGATCTTGGGCCAGACAACATTCCCCTCAACATATGATCATCCTGAAACAACCTCATAACACCAAACAATACTAAATCAACCATACATAGCCTTGAAAACTAAGCTTAGGATATGCAAGAATGGTTCATTGCCATTTCAAAATCATAATATACAATGCCATTGATGTTATATATATATATATAGAAAGTGAACATGCATTTAGGGTCAACTCTCAAGTAGATGCTTCAATTGAAAGGAGAAAAGGGTAATAAAGGACAATTTATAGATTCCAAAAACTACTCATGTCTTCATAAATACCTCATGTGAACCATCCAATTCAATCCCAAAAAAAATTCCAACTATCCATCAATATGAGAAGTCATTATTAGCATTTGATGCTACACTCACATGACTATGTATAGTCAATGAAGGTTTTGAGTATTTTATTGGTATCCACAATATATTACTGGTTTCAACCACAAGGGGTGGTGTCTGATTGATTTGAGTGTGGCTCTAAAGGTCAAAAGTATCAGGAGGTCTCAAGTTCAAATCCAAGGAGGAATAAAAATCCCCTTATAGCCACGAAGGTTCAAATGCGGTGACTCCGGGTTATCTGCAAAGCAGGTAGTCGTCCTGAGATTAGTCGGCTCGTATAGCGGGTTGGATATTCAGGTTAATAAAAAAGAATTAGGTTTCTTTTCAAAATAACTGTTCATATGTATATAATTTTAAGAACATGTAATTATTATACTTTTTTATTGACTAAATGACAATTTTATTCTTGATAATAGATAGAGAAACTTTATCTGTCTCATGATTAAGGGTAAAATGGTAAAAATATACATTTATTTTGAAAAGTGAACACTTATTTTCGGACAAACTAAAATAGAAATGTCGGACATAGTATTATACTTCAATGAAAGAAAATAAAATCTAGAAACCAATGTATTGTGTGTATTGTTTCTTCTTGAAAAATATGTGAAATAAAAGATTTTTAGTGTTATAACATAACATGTTGATTAGGGAATACAAATAAACAAGCATTTAATGGGGAGTCTGATATCTGAATTCAATTTGATTTAGTTGAAGTTTTAGACTGTTTGAGGTGGGTTTGGTAAGAAAAACCAGTACGGATAATCACAATGATTGTATCATGTCATATTACTGATATATAATAAGTTGATAATGGTTAATTTGTTGTAATAAGTTTTGATGTCGCTTTTGTTGTAAGTTCTTTTGTAGAAAAAGAGAGGTCTTAAGCGGTTTACTGTTTCTTTTTATACAATCGATCGGCTTCTAGAATGTTTTAGATGATAAACGTATCTAACCAACCTAAAAATCATGGGTGTTTTTGTACTTACAAATTTATTACCTATATTAATGTAGACAAATGATCGTGTGAGAATAAGAGTCAATTTGAGAAGCGTAAGAAGAGATTTTCACCCTTGATCACTTTTAATCCCACCGTACCCCATGAATTGTGCTTATCACGGGGGTTAATCCGGTGCATCGCGTTAGCGTTGATATTCAATTACGATTTATCCAAGGGTGGGGACGCGTTCTTATTCTTCTCAACATAATTTTCATTTTAAGCGAAACTCAACCCTATTAATCTAAACATATACATATACATATATATATATATATATATATATACACACACACACACACAATATTAATGGCTTTTTATTTTATTATTTTGATTTATGTTCTATTATTAATTAATACAATATACACAGTGACTTTGAAACTTTAACCAGTATACAGATTCGTTTACGTCTCTGTATTGAATAATAGATTGAACATTAATAGACATAAGTTTTTTCATATACAGATATGCTTTATCCATATATTTTATCAGAAACAACACACTTATCTATTAAGTCATATATCAGTATACATCTTACCAGCTAAACTCTGTTAGATTTGTTTGTTTTGGATTTATCAACTTTATTCAGAAATATATACCTATATGCCATGCTTAAGTCTGAAGCTATTAAGCACGTTGGTATCTCAAGTGGCTCTTTCGTTTTATTGGACCAACCTATTTAAAGTTCAAAAGCTTCATGCTTTTTTCATCTTCTTTTTCTTTGAATTCTACTTTTATTGATTTATTTTGTAAATTTGTTACATTTTTATTTTTAAAAAACCGAAAAATTAAATCCTAAATTACAAAGAAAAACAAATTTTTTTGCGTAAATCGACTGAAATGACAAATCCTGAGCTTTATATAATTTTGATTTTTACTGTATTGTAATAAAAAGTAAGACATTAAAAAACATACAGTAATATACGAATATGTGTTTTTTTTTATTAACCTGGATATCCAACTTGTTATGCGAGCCGACTAAACCCATGATGACCATCTGTTTTGCGGGTAGTCCGGATTCACCGCATTTGAACATCTAGGGGATTTTTATTTCTCATTGGATTCGAACATGTGATCTCCAAACACTTTTAACCTTTGGAGCCCGAGTTCAAACTAATCGGACGCCACTCTTGCGGTTCGAATGTGTGTTTATAGCATAAGCAATATGGTTTCGGTTTAAAGCATATAAACACATGTATATACAATGACACATTTTTTTTTTTCAATTGTGTAAGGTTTTAAATTACAAAATAGCCATCATGGTTTAAGAAAACGTCCATATTTGGTCTTCCTTTTAATGGCCGTTAAATGAGGGTCATTTTTGTAAATTTATCGATTTTGTTTTATATGTTTTATCCAATCAAAATCGGTTTAATAATTTTAATCTTTATGGTTTTTGATTGGATAAAAAACAAAAATTGATAAAAAGACAACACTGACCCTCATTTAACATAATTTGTTAACAATCGTTAGAGTAAGGGACCAAATATGGATCTTTTTAATCTTAAGAAATAAAAAAGTGTAACTTTACAAAGCACGGGGACCAAATTTGTAGTTTACTCTTAGGGACCGTTTACTAAATATTTACCCGGTAAGTGCTTATTAATAAAATTTAACACTATTATTTATTTAATGGGTAAGATTTTAGTCTACAAAAACGACATCGCATGTAACAATTTACCCGATAAGTGCTTACCGTGGGAAGAGTCGTCGCCCTCACTTACCGGGTAAGACTCTTGATCTTTGTCTCGCTCTTCCGGGTAAAATTATTGGTCCTTACCATATTCGTGCRGTGAGGTAACGTGACTTTGTAACTGCCTACCCGAATAAGTATTTGGTAAACGGTCCCTTAATTTGATTTCCATGAACAAAATTCGTGCTACTCGGCCTTGGGTCTTTATTCTTTTTGGAATCAAATATGGGCCTAAAATTTCCATGGCTTTTGGTTTTGGCCCAATATGGAAAATATTATGGATTAATTTGGGCCAACCCAATTTAAATTTTTGGGTTGAAAACTAATGTCTTCTTTTCTTTTACAATTTAGATGGGGAAATTTGAGAGGCATCCCCCATCATTAGTAACGGTGACGGCTAAAAACTGGTCCCGAACCGGAACAATGATGTTCATAACTGGTTCCGGTCTCATCGAAAATACTAAGGTTTGATACTTGTAACTGGTCCCAGATCTGGTCCAAATCGGTCCTGTATTAAAAAATATATATATATTTTGATAAATTTTCAAAAATATTTAATGTTATTTTAATACACTTTAAAATATCTAATTAGGTCAATCAAATACACTTGAAAAAATATGTTTTATTGTAGTTTTATAATTGGTTTTCAATCAAACACACTTAAAAATTACGTTTTATTGTTGTTTTATAATTGATTTTCAATCGAATATACTTAAAAAATATGTTTTTATTGTAAATTTGTAATTTGATTTTTAATCAAGGGAAAAGTACAATAAAAACCAATGAACTTTCTTGTTTGGAATGATTAAGTCCTTGAACTTTTTTTTGGAACAAATAAGTCCTTGAACTTTCCAAAACATGTTAAATAAGTCATTGGACAATTTTTTGGCACAAATAAGTCCTTGGACAATTTTTTGGCACAAATAAGTCCTTGGACATTCCAAAATATATTAAATAAGTCCTTAAACATTTCAAAATTTTAAATAAGTCCTTGGACTATTTTTGAAACAAATAAGTCCTTGAACAATCCAAAACATGTTAAATAACTTCTTGAACTTTTATAAAACATGTTRRATAYATTCTAATGACTTGTACAACTAGTTAAAATGGTAATTATTTTTTTGTAAATGTAAGTACTTTTTTGTTATATTTGTTTAATTTTATAGATCTAAATACTTTTTGGTTCAAAAAATATTTAGGGGCTTAATCGTTCAATACTATTTTACCACTTTATTTTTTTCAAAAAGTTATTTAACATGTTTTGGATTGTTCAAGGACTTATTTGTTCCAAAAATTGTCCAAGRACTTATTTAACATTTTTTGAAATGTTCAAGGACTTATTTGTTCCAAAAATTGTCCAAGGACTTATTTAACATATTTTGGAATGTTCAAGGACTTATTTAACATGTTTTGGAAAGTTCAAGGACTTATTTGTTCCAAAAAAAAGTTCAAGGACTTAATCATTCCAAACAAGAAAGTTCATTGGTTTTTATTGTACTTTTCCCTTTAATCAAATACACTTAGAAGTTAAGAATACATATAAAAAATACATTTTTTTGAACAAATCGGGCCGGTCCCAGGCCAGGTCTTGTTTTTGGATGAAAACCATAACCGGTCCTTAACTGACGGTCCCAAACAGATCCAAATCGATCCCGAGCCAAGCCGGTTCTAAGTTGGTGCTCGGTCCAGAACCCATGTAACAAAGATATACTTTATTATTACTCTAGTACAAAAAATATGTTTAATTTTTATTTCCAAATAATTCCCAAAATACCCTTTCAATTCCATCCCCGTTGATGACACATTGAACTTACTTTATTTCTTGCTGCTATGATCTAACTAATCACGTTGTTGCTTATAGTTTCCAGGTTCACAACATTAAATACTGCATTTTAGGCTCCCAACCTTGTATGTTTAACGAAAACGAATTATCGACCAATTTATACAAATCTAAATGCTAATTGTATAATAAGACACGAGCTCGTTGATTTAATGATCTTTTGCCATTTCTTGGTTTGAAGGTTATCGATGTATACGACTCCATTGTAAACGGGGTTGGAACAAGCTACAAGATCTAAGAATTACAATGGTAACATTGAACATATCTATAGGTTTCACGAACATGGAAACTCAAATATCCAATTAAAATTGAAGAGAGTAAGGGGCCGTTTACCAAATGCTTACTCGGATAAGAGCTTACTAGGTCACGTTACATTACGAGATGAACATGGCAAAGACCAATAATTTTATTCAATAAGAACGAAGACAATGACCGGGAGTCTTACCGCGGTTAGAGCTTACCGGGTAAATTGTTACATACGATATTATTTTGTTAAACTAAAATCTTACCCGGTAAGTAAGCGATAACATTGAATTTTACCGTTAAGCACTTACCGGATAAGTGTTTAGGTAAACGACCCATAAGTTGAGGCTTGAAAGCTTTACCTCTTTTCCATGGAGAAAAGGGCTTTAATAATTATGATAATACAAAGGGAAATTGATTTGAATGACCATTTTCCGTTTCCTAATCATTTATTACGCGAGTTTATCCAAATGTCACTATTTCCACAACATACAGGTCCACAATATAGCTAAAAAAAATAACCAAACTCAATCAATTTACTGTCACAACTGCGGATCTAGCCGTCACAATGGCAAATTTGTGTTGAATTTGTCTTTTTTTTGCCTTTCAACTAATATTTCAAACTTGGATATTGCATAAATAGTGATGTTTGGATAAATCTAGAGGAGAAATGGTTATGAGATCAATTTGGGTGTGAGTAATGGTTATTTGAGTCAATTTCCCTAATATATGTATCTAATTCACAAATAATTATTATCATTATTCAAATAAATAAGATTTACAACTAATTCAGTCAGTTATACATGTCCGTTTGATAATTGCTAAATGATATAAGAAATAGCTTATTTAATAAACTTATAAGAGAAGCTTTATGGAGAAAGTCAATTTTTTTCAAACATATCCCTTATAGTATAAAAACGCGTTTCTTCTATAACAATTTTCTTGCTTGCAGATTTCTTCCTGCGCTGATCCAAGAACCTTCTTCTTTAGCCCAGGATTATAAAAAAAGAAGAAGCAACTGAGCGAGAACAAGAACGGGTCGTCGTCCGGTGGCCATCTACTAAGTGAAGAGCCGATCGCTGCCTTTTTATTTGCACATAAGATACAGAGGCGAGGCCGAGTACAGGGGGTGAAATTGGTAAAAACAAATTTGAAGGGTCCGGAGAGAAATTATCCGAAGATTGAATCCCTACGCTCGCTTCCATAGTTTAGGATAAAAGCCACTCGATTCTCCCCAGTCGCGCAGCCAGCAGCCGTCTCTCTCATCCTCAATTCATCTGCGTAAATCATCCATAATCGACTTATCAAGAAATCCTTTTCAAGCCTGTAAGTTTGTTGCTGACATTTACCGTACGTTTTGTTGATTTTTCGAGGGATTTGTGTATCGTTTACTGTTCTTTTGCAGGGCTCTGGAACGATTTTTAATGTAATTCCGGAGATTTCTTGTTTTCTTCTCCCTTTTTCTGTGGATTTTTTCGTTCAATTGGGTTTAATTTATGATTTTCACCTTGAAGCTCGTTAGTTTGTTATGAAAATATGATAAATTGGTTTAGATTTCTGTTTAGGGTTTTATGCGATACGTGCAATTATATCGAAGAAGTTTCATCGATGAATCTCACATTTTATTATTTTAATATAGGTGATTCTTAATTTTGTACAAGTGGAAGGTGCCCTAGTATTAGTGGAAGATATCTTATCTAAAATACTGGAATTGGAACTGGAATTGGGATTTTATCTCGTTACGATCGATGGATGTTTGATATTATTCACCATCTTCTTTGCAGAAAATGCCATGATTTTATCTACTAACTTACAGTCACCAATTTGAAAATTGGAACACTTTTTAATGAAGATTTGTAGTTATAACATGTCTGTCAACAAGTTTCAGCATTGACAACAATTTCTTACATTTGCCAATGGCAAACTGTGGCTACTTATGTTATTCTTTTGAAGTTTTCCTAACACTTTGTGAGTGTTAACCGTCTGCTTGATCCATGAAATAACTGAAAACTAACTGCAGGGCAGGTTCGAATGAGAAAAGTAGAACATGTTAATCAATTATTTCATGAATTCTTCCTGATGAATAACCCTGAAATATTCATGAGTATTGTCAATCATGAATACCATGCATTTCATTATTAACAATATTCATCATGAATAATTCAAGAATAGTTGGTTCCAATGTTCTTAAAATATTTGCGGTTCTCACTTGAACATGCCCCAACTAGCACTTTATATTTTGTTCATAAGTTCTCAGTGGTCATCCAAATGAATGGTCTGTATTTTACTTCTGCAAGTTCAGTTTTCACACCTTAGGGTTTTGGTCTATACTTTTTTTATGTTTGTTTGGGCTTTTTGTGAGAAATTTAAGGTGTTATTTGGTTTTGGATATATGACTATATGAGTTAACTGACTTTATTTGTTTGAGTTTCTAGAAAATGGCAGAGGATAACATTAGTGAACATGAGACCGAGGTGATGCCTGAGAATTCTGTTCCAATTGAAGTTCAAGTTTCCGAAAACGATCAGGGGGATGCTATAGAAACTCAAGATAATGAGAACGAAGAAGGTGGTGATGCTCTAGAGGGTGCTGCGGTGGAGGGTGCTGCTGCAGAAGGTGTTGTGGAAAAGAAATGGCCTGGGTGGCCTGGAGAGAACGTTTTCAGGATGTTGGTCCCTGTGCAAAAAGTTGGTGGCATTATTGGTCGCAAAGGAGAGTACATAAAGAAAACTTGCGAAGAAACACGGGCTCGCATTAAGATCCTTGATGGTCCTCCTGGTACTACTGAAAGAACTGTAAGTATCTCAGTAAACCTATTTGTTATTTCGCTGTGTTTTGTGTTACAGATTGTTAGGGGGGACCGGAAACCATCATTTCTGTGATGGATTTTATAATATCGTTTTGTTTTTGATGCTTGATTTATGTTTTAGTAATCATTTGGTTTCTTCATTCTTCTTCAAAGTAGTCTTTTAATTTCTAAACACAAACTTGTTAATTTATTTTGTTGATTTATCATTATTTCTGTTCAGAAGTATAATATAAATGCAGGGTTATTTAGCTAAATGACCTATCTACAGGTTTCTAGGCATTCTTGTGTCCGGAAGAGTCATTATTCTGTTAGGTAACGGCATTCTCATGACCTGCTAGAAGGTCATATTTAAAAAAAAACCTTTTCTAAAGGTCATTTAGCTCAACAATCCTATAAATGCAAGTGTTGTTTAGTCTGCAGAGATCAGGGAAGCGTAAGTAATGGAGTTTTGTAGATCGTTTCGTATTTTTAGGTTTCTACATTTTTTTTGATCAATTTATTTCATTCAATGTTCAATTTATATTTCTGCTACTGGGATTTGACAAGATAAGAGTTCTTTTGAAGTGTGGCCCATCCATAATATTGGTTGTTTAGCATCTTTTATGGATATACGAGGAACAAATAAGACTACTAACACTGTCAAATGGTATGTGACCGTATGAAAACAGACAATGGGATTGTTAAAAGAATTTATCATAACAAAATGTGGATATAATTATAAATTATAAAAAACTGCGAATTGAAGATAAGATATGAACATAAATCTTAAATGTAACAGACCAGAGAAAACATGAAATAAGTGAAATTACAACAATATCAACACCGAACAATCGGGTTAAATCTAAACAAGTTTATGTTATCCCAATAACTTAAATGAATGTGTGCAGGTTCTCTCAAATTTAAGGCAACATTCAATTGTCAAAGTGGTTCCAATTAGCAGAGCCAAAGATCCAGATTGCAGTTCAGCGTTGAGCATCACAACCGCTGAAAAATTATCAGTATCAAGAAGCATGTACGTTACTGGTAACTTCGGAACTGGATGGATTGATGTCTTGCGACACGTTGCTAATCAAACAAGTAAACAAAACTAAGGGAATGCATAGGATGTTGTCTACAGGAAGAATAATAAATTAAACATAAATGAAAATGAAGATGTGAAATATGTTATACATAAGTTAAGGAACAAGAAATCTTGAATGGTAATGCTGTTAACTTCGGTAGAATATCTTTGATGTTCACTATTGTTTATGATCAAGGTTAAACATCCAAATATATGAACTATTATCCATTTATTCTTCAATATTTAATAAGCACGATAAAAGATTGGTTAGGCTATAACGATACAAGAAAAAGCAATAAACTGGGGTTGGTGTTATCGTATTTCATCAGTTGCATAAAGCTACAAGATGAACATGGTCTCATGAATCTTGATGTAATAATTTAAATAATATCCTATGAAAGCCTCACAATGTTTTCTCTTGATAAAACAGTATGCGGATGATTATTAAGTTTTTAACTCATGTCCTCATGATTCTGCTTGATATGATCTTTAGTTTCTTTTTCAAGTATATAATATTTATATATGGCAAATGCTCATGGACACTCTTAACCTTTAGTGAGGTTTGAACCCTTGACCTTCTGGGAGGCTGGGCTCTAACATTAACCCAGGCGGGTACCACTAGGCCAATGATCCTTTTGGTTTCTTGATGTGATCTTGCTAGTCAAAGTTTCTGTGGTTATCTGTTGTAGTTAATAGATATATACTATTTTGCCAGGTGTTGATTTCTGCAAAGGAAGAACCTGATGTTTCTATTCCTCCTGCAATGGATGGTTTGCTGAAAGTTCATCAGCGCATCATTGATGCTGATAGCGATTCTACTCATGCCCCGCCTGGAGGGGCGGGAACTATATGCACAAGGTTACTCGTGGCAGGTACGCAAGGTGGAAGCTTGATAGGGAAGCAGGGTGCCACCATAAAGACCATTCAAGATTCTTCAAATTGTAAAATTCGGGTTATAGGAGGAGGTGCGTTGATAAATTCTTGCGTTTTTTGTTTTTGGTTTATTCTTGAACCGGGTAAGAGTGCCTGTGAACATAAGAGGTTTGGTCTAGGTAAGCTCTGACTGAATATGGTTGTTAATCAAGTTTTTCAGTAGTAAGTGCTTACCAATATTTTTTTACCATAATTAGATGTTTAAATGAAAACCCCTAATTGCAAAAGCGGGTAGGACTGCAAAGTACAAAAACTGACCTTGTAAGTGAATTAATAATGCTGGCCGGGTAGGTGACTGATCTGACTGAAGATGCTGACTGAGCACCTTACTGGGTCAGTTTACTTACTTTTCGGACCTACCTGTTTTTGCAATTAAGGTTTTTCATTTAAAATTTAATTTTGTAGAGGGTTATAATGGTGATTTTTTTACTGGTTAACGCTTACTAAAACACTTGGTAAACAACCATTTTCAGTTGGCGCTTAGCGAGGTGTACTCTTACCCGATCAGCGCTTACTCAATTTCTGTTGGTAAATGCCCCCTTGATCGGCTTTCCCAAGAACTTATTGATGTGGTTATGCTTGATGTTATTCTGCAGAAAACCTACCAGTTTTTGCTCTACCTGATGATAGTGTTGTCGAGATACAAGGGGAGACTACAGGTGTACACAAGGCTGTGGAACTGATTGCAACTCATCTAAGAAAGTTTTTAGTCGATCGCAGTGTTATTGGGATATTTGAGATGCAAGTAAGTTTTCTTGTCAAATATAGTTTAAATCTGGTTTTGGTTTGCTAGATTCCACAATGGGTGAATATTCCTAATCTCTTTCTCACCCTTCTCTCAATCCGGGGTCTGCACGAAACAGCCTTCAAAATAAATGTCCACAATGAAAAAAGACACATAGTCTTGGATATGTGTAGTAATTACACTTTTTGATTAAATAAGTGACAATTTTACCCTTAGTAACAAAGGAAGTTATGAATTTCTCCATCTCATAATTAAGGGTAGAATTGGAAAGTAGACACTTATTTTGGGACGGATGGAGTAGTTTTAACATTTAAAAATTCGTATGTGGATATTGCTGCTTGAGTTCAAAAATTCATGTGTGCAAAAGTTGAACGAATATTTACCCTCAATGCTTGTGTTTCCTGCAAAATGAAGTACCTCTTTATTGTGAATGTAAGTTTATTTTTCTTCTGATAGATGCAAATGCCAAATGCTCGTCCGAATCAAGAGATGCCCCCTCCCCAACCTTGGGCTCCATCTCCCCAAGGTTTCCCGATGAATGCTGGCGGTGGACCTGGCTTTGGACCCAATCAATATATGCCACCTCAGCACCAATATGATAACTACTATCCACGGGTAGACATGCCTCCGCCAATGGATAAACAGCCTCGTCAAGGTCCACCTTCTTATGGTAGGGATCCGTCTATGGGACCACCTCATAGTGCAGGTGTGCAGCCACAACAGTCTATAGTCACAAAGGTATGTCTTTTTTCTTGGTTATCTATGTACTTCTGGTACAATTCTTGACCCATTTAGTCATATGTGGAAAGCTAAGTGAGAACCATAAATAATTTTGTGAGAACCAACTATATGGGGAAAGTTCAAATGATAACCATAAATATTTGAGGACCTATTTCATGTATTATGCACAATGGGTAACCTTATTAATGCATAATCTCTTAAAATTTTCAAGTTTATAACTTAGTAATGCATTAGTACAATTTCTTAAAAGTCCACGTTGAACTTCAAAACCAACCGATGACCACGTTCAAATACAGAATAAGCTCCACGTTTGAACTCCATAAAATAAATTGATAAAAACGTTCAAATAAGCGTACGGCCATTCTATACGCCAGAATTCTTCATAAATCTTGAATTTTCATTTTTATTAGGAATTGTATCAATTTTCCATTCTCGGGTTACAATAAAATTTTACATCTCGCTGCGTTGCATGTCTTTCTATATGTAGGTCTCACAGAACATGCAAATCCCTCTTTCATATGCTGATGCTGTAATTGGTACCTCCGGAACTAATATTAGCTATATTCGACGAGCCAGTGGTGCAACCATTGCGATACAAGAAACACGAGGTGTTCCTGATGAAATGACTGTTGAGATAAACGGATCAGCTTCACAAGTTCAGACCGCTCAACAGTTGATACAGGTACTCTTCCATATTTCCTCAAATTTACTGTTTTCTGTTCTAATAAGGCTGTGTATGGCAACCAAAAACTAGCATTTTTTTAGCTTATTAAAAACCCTCGTCTGGAAGCAGCATTTCAATAAGCTTTAGGGTTTTTTTTTTTTTTAATTAGTTTTTTAACAAGTCATTTTAGGTCATTTCACATTGTCATCCAGCTTATCGACCACTTGTTTATCAGCTAGCTTATTAGCCAAAAACTAGCTTTTCAGTTAATAGCTAATCTTATTAGCTAGTTTAACAAGCCATTTTAGGTCATTTTACATTGTCATTTAGCTTTTTTGGTTTTACTAAACATAAGTGGTTTATAAGTTAGGGCCTGTTTGTTAGCAGCTTAATGAGCTTAATAAGATTCACAGCTTATTTGGTCAGCTATACATGACTATTTGGTGGTTTAATGATATAGAAAGTGGCTTATTCAGTAAGCTTCTAGGGGAAGCCTTATGCAAAAAGCCAAGTTTTTTTCCCCCCAAAACTGTTCTTCCCAATAAACAAAACATGCTCATTCCATTTATGAAAAAACCCTCCCAAACAAAAGCCTTCTCAATCTCTACAGGCAGATTAATCCATAGAGGACTTAATGGAAAACCAACCAATTCTATTAGCCCAAAACTAGTTTTCCAGTTAAAAGCTAAGCTTATTAGCTAGTTTAACAAGCCACTACAGGTCTTTTTACGTTGTCATCTAGCTTATCTGGTTTTTAAGCTAAGCTTATTAGCCAAAAACTAGTTTTTCAGCTATCAGCCAACAACTTGTTTTTCACCTAGATTGTCAAATATTGCTTTAATGATTCATGTGGACCATCTTCTGGATGTGCTTCATATTTCATTTGGTGGGTGATTAATGATTCTCTTTCCATTTTTTTGATTTAGAATTTCGTTGCTGAAGCTGCAACTGCCGCTCAGAACTCAGCTGGTCCACCGCCTAGCCAAGGCTATAATCCATACCCTGGTCATGCTCCTGCTTACCCTTCTCAACCACCACCTGCTGGCCATGCACCGGCTGCAGCCGACTATGGTGGACCTGTGTATGGCGGCAGTTACGGGTATTGAAGGATATTTTGACAGAAATACCCTTTGCAATCTCCTTGATGAGTGGAGGTTGCCAGGGGTAATGTTGTAACAAGATGTTCTTGTTTAGAAGTAGGTAGGTGTTTTCTTTATTGGTCTTTGCTGAAAACATGGGTTTTTTTTGTTTCTCGATCGTAGTTTATGCAACTTGTGTTTCTGAATGATGGCTATTGAAGTCTTTTTCCTTCATTTTTAGATGCAGTTTAGCTTATGTAACTCTGGCCTTTTTATGCTTTCATTTAACACAACTAAACCAAAACAAGTAACAAACAGAAGGAACTCCAAGATATCTCATTGATGGTGATTTTATAGGCTTATTTCTGGTCTAAAATGTTGGTCAACTTTTAATTCATGGAGCCTACTGATAATTTTATGAGCCACATCACCATAAGCTTCCGAAACAGCCGAATTCAGAAGAGATGTAACCACGGGGATATCTTCATCGGAGCCGCATCTGATCTTCTCTTCGAACGGTGTCTAAATCCACAATGCATCATGACCGAATTAGTGAAAGAAAATGCTGAAAAAAGCTCGGTGAGTCAATGGATGTCAAAGGGTAAAAACGTACTTCACCAACAAATGCCAATCCCGTTTTGTCGGCGTTTTACGTGCTCCGCCTTTTCCAAAAATGTAAGAAGGTTTGCTACAATGTGGACATTTGAAGTAGCTCGTGTTCTCTATGATCGCCAATATCGACAAATTAATCGCGAATGTTAACGGATACTAAAACATTACGTTCCGTGTTTGGAAATATAGTAAAGCAAACCAAACAAATCCAATATATCCGTCACGGAATGGGGTCTGATGGTAATGAGATGTACACAAATTTGTACTATGTTGTTCTAAAGAGTAGAGCAATTGTTTCCATGAAAGACCCCCAACTGCTTTATCATTTTTTTSCACACTTAACACAAGTAAGGGGTCTTCATGGAAACACTCTCGTTACACTTTGAGTTAGAGGTCAGGTATACGTTAACCCCCTTTTCCTAGGCGGGGCCAGGACCCCACCTTCGGGCATGTAGGACCATTGGGTGTGTGATAATTAGTATCCTACATTGGGTGTGTGATAATTAGTATTTCCGCTTGGTGATCTGTAACAGGTGCATCAAAAACTACTCTCTACGTCTTAAAATAAGTTTTTATATTTCTATTTTAGTTTGTTCTAAAATATTTGTCCAATTTCAAAAGTAAACGTCTTCTTTCCAATATCCTTAAACATGAGATAAAAAATTAATTACTCCCTCCATCATCAAGGGCAAAATTGTCATTATGTTAATAAAAAAACATAATAATATCACATTTCTAAAACCGTGTGCCTTTTTYGTTATGGATATTTATTGTAGGAGAAATGAAGCATAATGTAATGTGCCAACGCATCTTAAAGCGCATAAACACTGAGAAATTATCATACAGGAACCGAGACTTTGAAGAACATTTTGACTCCTCTTCRAGCATCCATTAATGAAACATCTTGAGGGGTCGACACAATCAATGTTCCTACCACCCAAAAACGAATGGTATCATGTTAAAAATATACTCCATCTGTCTTATAGTAAGTRTCCATTTTCAAAAGTAAGTACCCAYTTTYCAATTYTACCCTTGATTAWAAGATATTAATTGAGATATTATGAAACTAATRAGAGTTCATTTATTATGATTTATATATTTACGGAAAATAATTAAAGTTTATTAACCATGATCAACGTTTTACATAAGAAAAAAAAATCTAATGTATTTATAGAATCAGATATTCATTAGATTAAATAAARGGTTGAAATTGAGTTGAAATGGTTGTACAAATGAAATTGTATAATAAACTACCACTATAAACAAATTRTACTAAATTGAAGCAATTTGATTGGTTCAAAATTTATTTAATTAATAACTATATTAACATTATTTATAAATAGAATTTYMWTWTTTTTATTTTTATTTTATTTGAGTATATATAGTTACATTAACATACAATGAAATTATTATTTGAATAAATTAWGTTTTTAKTCYTTATGGTTTATTAGAAATTACGGATTTTATTTCTATGGTTTTCAAYYTTATGGTTTGTAATTCATTTCAAWYTTTGTYCTTAAACACAAAACACTACTTTTAAGTATGAGGGACGAAAATAAGAATGAGACCCGAGGACTATATTCCCGAATCGAACAKGTACCGTATGCATGTAATCGGTTCGGTTATCAGTTCCAATTTTACAACAAATTCTCGATTCAAACATCATGTAATTTTGATTATCGAACTTTTACGATTGGTTTTGATRCATATTTGAAATATCATGAACTTTTGATTGTTTCTTAACCCACTTTCATAATTAGGTCTTAAGTGGTYATAATACCGATTTTCCCGTCCCGAAACCGAAACGGAAACCAAACAGGTACCGAACTTGTACATACGATTTGGTGTTCGGTCCTAGTTTTGAGTGCCGTAAAAAACTGGTATCAACTAAAATACAAATGAATTATAAACTATAGAAACATAAAAAAAAAAACAATAAATTTTAAATCATAAGGACAAAAAAGGTAATGAATTATTAATCGTAAGGATGAAAACTGCAATTTCAAAACCATAAGAATGGAAACAGAAATTTTCACCAAAACCTAATGTTCCTGACTGATAACGATTTCAAGTCCCTCGTCTTTCATTATTATTTTTGTTCAATCCTTTAATCTAATCCTGAAATGTCATATTGACCAAACCARATTAATTAGACAGTGTTGGTTCAGTTTAATAAATCCACTCAGTATTTATTATTATCTAAAATGTCAACCAGATGTATTTGATTCAGTAAATATATCTGATAATCATAAATGTATGGATTAATTTTTGATACCTGAGTTACCTATAAAACTTTGAAGTTACAAAGCATATAAAGTATGAAATAATTGTATCCCAAATGGTTTAAATGGGTATAGYATTGTGATGTATCAATTTTAAGTTTGATAGCAAGATGTATTTATAACTAACCAACCATAATCAATAACTTTTGCTGCAACTTGAAGGTTTTTTTTTAAATATATAAATGCATATATATTTATATTCCATCTAAAATTATTTAATGTTGATTGTAACATATTATAACCCTCTCTCTCTCTCTCTATATATATATATAGGGAAGGGTTCAAACGAGAAGCCCTGTGATTTACGAGAACGCAAGAACAATCCAATAACCTCATATTGTGATAAAAAATAAAATTAAAATATTTTTAAAATTAAAACTGAAATTTAAAAAGATTCAAAAAATATTAAAATTAAAAAGGTAATAATGTAAATGATATCATCAAATCTTTTAACATGATTACACGATCATGATTATCATTATCTAATAAACAATTAAGAATTCAAGAAGACTTAGAAGTCGTAACATCAAATCACAAAACAACAGTGATCGACCAAGAACACACGAACCCTAATCGATCAAAGAGAAGCTATTACATGCAACAATCGAACAACAAGAAGAAGTTTATTCAAGATATCTTTCACAATTACTCGTTTTGAACATGTTTTTAATTGATTAGTTGTGATAATCATGTGATATCAATGTCACTCGACTTGATCATGGTTTCAATGGGTTATGTTAGACATTATCACAATGATTTCGTATGGTTTCGATAGGTTATGATTAGACTAGGTGTGATAATCATGTGATATGAGTGTGATAATCATGTGATATCACTATCATAACAACGCACTCGATTTGATCATGGTTTCGATCGGTTAGGGTTAGACAATCACACATTTATCACAACGATTTCGGATGGTTTCGATAGGTTATGATTAGACAATCACACATTTATCATAATGATTACGAGCGAAATCCACTAAACGATTTGGTGTGATATGAGTGTGATAATCATGTGATATCACTATCATAACAACGCACTCGATTTGATCATGGTTCTGATCGGTTAGGGTTAGACAATCACACATTTATCACAACGATTTCAGATGGTTTCGATAGGTTAGGATTAGACAATCACACATTTATAACAACNATGGTTTCGATAGGTTAGGATTAGACAATCACACATTTATAACAACGATTACTCATGGTTTCGATAAGTTATGGTTACACTAGATTGATTATGGTTTCGATAGGTTATGGTTACACAATCACACAATTATCACAAGAGAAGAGAATAGATTATCACAAGGGAAGAGAAGATAGTGGAAATGAACGTGCAGAAAAAAAAAAAAGAATAATTATAATTAATTAAAATAAAATAAAAATTATAAAAATTATTTAATTACATTTCCGTCCTTATTAATTTATTATTATTTAATATAAGTTAATTTATTTATCAAAAAAGTTTGAGGTTATTGGGTTGTTCTTGCGTTCTCGTAAATCATAGGGGTTTTCGTTTGAATCTGCACCTATATATATATATATATATATAGAGGTTGGTTATTATACAATCCTTAACATTTGTGCAACCAATACAACTCAATCTCAACCGTCCATTTCATTTGATGAATATGTGATTTCATAAAAGTTTTGATTGTTTCCTAATATAAAGTATTAATTATAATTAATGAACTCTATTCATATTCCATAAATATTTAAATCATAATAAATGAACTCCCATTAATTCTATAAATATCTCAATTAATTGGGTTGCAAGGGTTGTACAAATACACAAGGTTGTAAAAGAAATATAMCCTATATATATATATATATATATATATGAGGTTTACTTTGCAAACCGTACAAACCTCATTCAACCAATCATAATTTTTCATTTTGTTCATTTTTTTTTTTGTAATTATAAGAGGTTGTTAATCATAGATATTATCATCTTCATTATTTTAATTTTAGAGAAATACATAAGTTTCATTAAAATTCCATTAACTATTATATGAAACAATTTCATAACCATATATGAAACAACTTAATAAAAAAAAGTATTACATGAAACAATTTCATAAGATTAAACAATGAAATCGATGGATGAGGGTGGTTTGCATGGTTTGTACAAATTATGTGGTTTGCATTTGATCGTTCATCTATGTATACATATATATATATATATATAGAGAGAGAGATGCGTTATTATGCAACATTTTACATTTGTACAACCAATACAACTCAATCTTAATCGTCAATTTAATTTTATAAAAGTTTTGATTATTACGTGTACATGTGGGTGGGTGTATAACACATGTATGTATAGACAAACATTGATTATAAGTAAATTATTGAGAGAGATGATGATATTTGATCCACAATTGGGGATGGATGGTATTAAAACTACACATTACACATGCATCGATAGGGAAAAAAACACGCCCCAAGAACATGTCTGCCATGGCGGGTATCAGGTTCTTCTTCAAGTTGAAAAAATCAAATGCTTAACTTAATTTCAGGGCACAAATTAACCTCTTCTTCACCTTAGATTCTCCTACCATCCAATCCAATCCAATCATTCCCTTCTTCATTTCATTCCCCCCCTATTTCACCTCCTACCTGCCGTCCCTTCCATCTCCGATTGCTTCCTTCCTCAACCTGCATTTTCCAGGTATTCATTCTTCTCAATTTTCACCATTTCTCATTCATTGTGGAGGTCATTTGATCGCCAACAGTAGTTTAACTGTTCGAATTCAATTAGGGTTGTTTTCGGTTTCGTAGTTTTTTTTTTTGTTATAAAGTGATTTAAGCGATTCGATTAATTACTGTTGATTGATAACAATTCATTCGTAATGATTTCGCTATTTGTTTCTGATTTCTTACAGCCTTTAACTCCTATTTATGGAATTTGATTGATCTCAATTGAGGCAGTTTTTCGTGCAAAATTTATCAGAAGCCACTCTTGAGCTCAATCAAATCCATTTCCATTTTGGGAGTAAAAAGGTTTGGTTTCGAATGCACGTATGGCTGCCTCAAAGGGATTCATGTATCATTTATCCATGGCCGCCTGCGAATGGTTCTTAATGTTTCTAATGCTTCTCGATGCTGCATTGGCTTATCTCCTCACCAAATTCGCACACCACTGTGAATTACAATCCCCTTGTATGTTTTGCTTGAGGCTTGATCACTTTTTCGGTAACGAAAAGCGCGGATCCTATTTGAGTTTGTTCTGCCATCAACATCGAGCCGAGGTTTCGTCTTTGATATCTTGTGACCTCCATGATAAGCTTGCAGATGCAAGAGAAATGTGTGATGATTGTTTCATGTCGATAATGAATTGTAAAATTGGGGCAAAAGGGTACCAGAAATCGTATTTGAATAAGAATTTTGTTCGTTCGCCTTCGAGTTCTGGCTTGTGTTCATGTTGTGAAACATATTGGAAACCGAAGCCGATTGGTAGAAGATTGCAATCAGGTTCAGTTCGATTGGGACCTGTGAGAGTAACCATGAAACCTCCGTTGCCACGGGTTACAGGCCGTGGTCGGTTTCGCCGCCGGAATCATTTCAAGAGGGTGCGGGATAAGATTTCGGGAAATTCAACCCCTTGCCATGTTGAGAATAATATCAGCGGGAATATGGATATGGACACGTTATCTGATTCTGGCTGTGTTAGGTTCAATTCGGATTCCGAGTGTGAAATCCCAGTTTCTAAACATGTTCTGATAATGTCCGAGGATAGCTTCTATTCGGATTCCGATTCTGAATTTGATATCCCAGTATCTAAAAATGTTCCGAAAGCTGTTGTTGTTCACAGAAAAAGGGGTTCCAAAGATCAGACTCGAGCTATACATGGCACTAGTGGTCAGAAACAAGATCGGACTCGAGCAAAACGTTCCCATGGTGTCTCTGATCGTGAGACTTCAATTCTAGACGGGCATCATAGTGAAAGTACGCCAATTCCTGCATCTTTGGCATCCAAAGATCCAATTGGGCATGGACCGAAAGAATTTAACCATGCAGAACTCCATTCTAGGGACGTTTCTGTACCATCAGTGCCACAAGAACGGTGTTCAACATCAAAGGGTTCTATTCAAGATTCAATCGGGCACGTAGAACTCCATTCTAGAGACGTTTCTGCACCATCTGTGCAAGAAAGGTCATCAACATCAAAGGGTTCTATTCAAGATTCAATTGGGCACGTAGAACTCCATTCTAGAGACGTTTCTGCACCATCAGTGCCACAAGAAAGGTCATTAATATCAAGGGTTTCTAATGAAGATGCAATTGGGCACCTAGAACTCCATTTTAGGGACGATTCTGGACCATCAGTGCCACAAGATTCGGGCAGCACTCTTGATCAGAGAAAGTTATCTGCCGATGATGTTCTAAACGGAAATAGTCTTCCAGAAGTCAGCAAGAATGAAAGATCATCACCATCAAGGGGTTCTAATCAAGATTTGCCTTCATCAACCGACATCAAAAGGGATTTATCGAAAYCTGATGGGGTTAATAATGATCACAAGGCATCCAGTTCTTCAGATAAAAGCGATGGTTATGAATCTCCTGCAGCTAGTGTGAGTGACATCGAGGGTGAAAGTGTGGTGGACAAGCTAAAACGACAGGTGGAGCATGATCGTGAACGGTTGCATTTGTTACATATGGAACTAGAGGAAGAGAGAAGCGCTGCTGCAGTAGCTGCAGACGAGGCAATGGCCATGATCACGAGGCTGCAGGAAGAGAAAGCGGCTCTCCATATGGAAGCCTTGCAGTACTTGAGAATGATGGACGAGCAGGCGGAGTACGATATGGAAGCTCTAGATAAGGCTAACGATCTCGTTGCTGAGAAAGATAAAGAAATCCAAGATTTGGAAGCTGAGTTGGAATATTTTAGAAGCCGCTACGATGAAGAATTGTTTATGGGGAATCCGATGGTTGAAACTGAAAATTTCCAAAAAAATCATCTGGGAAATGGGAAAACAGATGCCAAAATTTCTACTTTCGACTCGAAATCTAGAAAAGCTCCGGTTTTAGACCTTCAGGACGAAAAAAGATACATTTTACAGTGTTTATCGGAGCTGGAAACGAAGTTTAACCAAGTTTCTAGTGATCAACACACATCCATTGGGAAATCTAATGGTAATATACATACTGAAATAGAGAATCTTGAAGATCTTCAAGCTGATAACGGAACTCAATCGAAACATAAAGATTCATCGACATCAAATGGATCCAAGAAAGTTGATGTGGGTATCCTTGAGAATGAAATTGCAGATCTTAATGAGCGATTGGAAGCACTTGAGGCTGATCGGGATTTCCTTGAGCATGCTTGTAACACGCTCCAGGCTAACGGGGGTATAGAATTTATTCAAGAAATAGCGCATCACCTTCAAGATTTGCGGAGGATTAGGTTTGATAGAAGATGCCAATTGGTCGCTTGAAGCTGCATTCTTCAACAAAATTAAGGTAAGTGGATAGTACTCCACATTTATTGTAGCATAATCTGTTCGGTATGGAAATAGATCATTAGTGGAAAGTTTAAATGAGAACCATAAATATTCTGAGAACCTGTGAATCAATTATTCATGATGAATAACTGAATATCTTGATAGTTATTCATGATGAAAATGCATGGTATTCATGATGAAAGTGCATGATATCATGAAAAATAAAAGTTTGATATTGAATATCACTATTAAGGGTTATTCATAATGAATAATACATGAAATAATTGGTTGTAAGCTCTCAAAATATTTATGGGTCTCATTTAAACTTTCCCTTGCATCATTATTATGCATAATGATGAATGTTCCTGATCAAAGATTGATCACTTCACTTTTAACTGTCTATATGTGGAGGCWGTTTCTATCAGTAATGATCTTGATCTAATCTCCCAAACAGAACTACTAAAAACAGAACAACCGAATCAAGAACGGACGAGTGGATAATCTAGACTTGTAGTCAGCTAGATCCTTGAAGGCTGTTTCYGTATTTGGAGCTTTAGGATAATGTTGTCCGCTAAGGATGCATTTGGTACACTAAACGGGACATGACAGAACAAAAACTTATTGGGTCCCACGTTTGGCGTGACATTAGGCTGGGATAGAAGGGAACTGATTGAGACAAAAATGCATTTTTTTTGTCCTACCAAAATAGGCGGAACAAGAATAGGAGACGAGTCAAGATTGGTAAATTACAAGAATACCCATGTTAAATTAAAACCCTAAAACCTTCCACAATTTTTTCACCTACCTATCTCACTCCTGTTTGTCCAATCCTGTTCTACCTCACTCTTGACGGTCCGGTCCTGTCCAATCCAGTTCCTTCTAGTTATGTCAGCATACCAAATTAGGACGGGCACAAGTAAAACCCCAAAGTTCATAGTTCATAATATCTCTTGACCCTGAGATTCTTATCAAACCAACCACCTTGCCCTGAACCGATATATATTGCCAATGCTTTTGATTCGATTCGATTAGATCGTTTAGCATTTTCATTTTGTGGGTCCTGTTTTATATGACACTAGAAATTGAAGACATGACTACGATCCTGTTTACTTCTACGAAATGATGATTTGGGCCAATGAAATGAGAATCAAAAACCAAAAAGGAACAGTATAAACGAATGAAACCTAACCTCCTACTTTACATGAAGAAATATGTGTTTATGCAGAAGATCAAGACAAGACAGACACCAGGATTTTGCTCCTAGTTAACCAAACCAACCCAATATATCCCATCTGAAGGTGTGGGATCTGGGGAGAGGTAAGATGTATGCAGACCTAACCTCTACCGTAAAAAATGTAATTTGGGCAAAAAGTTGATTAATGGCAACCCCAACCGGCCCCACATGGAACTCTCCTACAAGGACACCAATGGGAGGGGACATTTTTTTGGCTCACTCAGTGGGGGGATGGGATTGAATCCATGACATGTCTTATATTTGGGCAAAATCACCCCACCTCTTTACGAACTGAGCTACACGCTATAGATTAAAAAGGTGTAATTTAGTTTCAAAACTCAATCTTGGAACCATACTATCTTCCAAATCAAGTATTTCGTTCATTGGAATGCTCAAGTTTCAAGAAATCTTGAATAAATATCTTCCCGGAACTCTTATACTAACCTGGGTTAAGTTATTTGACGTTTCAGATGCATTCTCGAAAGGCCAACTGTATCCATGATCGACACAAAAGAGGTCGAGATCGATACCATATTCTTGCTTATGAATCTTGATGCAATCGATGATCTCGTTTAAAAAAAAAAGATCGTTAAAGTGACGATGTGTTCCRTTGCAGCTGGTTAGATGACAAAAAAGTTGGTTTTAGTTTGTATATTGATTTCAATGTATGTCCACATTTTTGTTTCTAATGAGTTCTTCTCTCCATATTCTAGTCGTCTCAGGCTTCTTTGTCATAAGAGAAATGATATATTTGTGTGTATGATTTTATATGTACACCAATTCTTTCTTTTTAATGAAAATCTGAAGTCTTTTCTTTGAGTCTTTTATGTTCGTTTATCTGAGGTGCTCGTTTACTGGTTTGGATGATATATGCTTTTGTGGGTTGTACCTGTCTTATAAACAAATAAAACAAATAAACTCATACACTTCTCAAAATACTTTAGGGTTGTTTGTTTGCTTCTTAACAGTGTTATTAAGAGGCAGCCTCTGAATCGCGTAGAGGTAAATGTTGTTTGCAAAAACAAATGAAGGCTCTTAATGGTGACGAAATCCTCTGAACGATTTTTCATCCAGGGCCAAGCCATATGATTCAAAGCTCTATTTTTTCCATGTTTACCTTGTCTAGGCCGGTCTCGCTCTGTCGCCTCCAAGAGCTTCCCAAACCTATCTGGCAGTATCTGAATCATTAAGAGGTGAATATTGCTGACAATAAAAAGGTCTGTCTCTCAATAGTTCTAAAACCCTCTGAATCATTTCTGCTGATTTTCTACAATCTGTTGAAATCATGTGTATTGATTTTGTTTGCTGAAAACTGTTGGTTTCTGGTCCATGTCATCATCAATTTTGCTAAAGGTTACACTTCAAAAGCTGAAACACATTTGATTATTACTTGGTTGTAACTTGATTACACTTGATTTATTCCACTTGGATCTATTGTCGAGGGACGAGAAGAAATTGAGGGTGGCGATCAAGATGATATGGACGAAAGGTCTTTTGGTACTTAGAACATACAGATGACTAAAATGGTAATTTGTTGTCATTCAAAATGATTACAAAACAACCTTATTTTATTTTGTATTACATCATACAGAGCTTCTTAAATATTCTGGATCAAACTATTCAACAACTGTTGCTAAATGAACCTACATCTATTATACATATTTAGGAGGGAGTTGATACTGAATGAAGAGGGTCCAGCCTAAACCAACTAAGTTGGGTAAAATGATAAAGTAAATTTTTACTTTTAAAAAAAATAACATTTATTTTGAGAAAAATTAAAATAATAATATAAACATTTGATATAGAACGAAACGAGTATTTAATAATAATTAGAAGGGCTATTCGTGCAATGCAACGAGATAAATCTTCATTTTAATGTTCAATTCTAATTCTTTGTCTCTATCGATAATGTTTTTATTTTTGAATGAAATATAAATTTGAAGATAAGATAAAAATTTGAAAAAAATAAATCGATATTAGTATCAAATTAACTATTTAATAGTTTTCAATTTTTTGTGTAACTTTTTTAATTCAATTTTTTATTATAAGTTAATTTGGATTTAATAACAAAGTAATTTATTTTTAAAGATTATTCTAATTATATTTTAGATTTTTTATATTTAAAATGAGATGTTTATCTTGTATTTGAATATGTTTATCTGCAGTTAGTTACACAAATTCATATATGGAGCTTTAATAAGTTGTAATTATCCACAATCTACTTGCAATATTGAGTTTGAAGTAATATGCATTAATAAACAATACTTTATGCATAAAAAATGGTTTTTAAGAGTTTTTGTCAAATATTTTATAATATAATATAGATAGATAATAATGTGAACATACAATTTTAAACATTAAAAAAAGGTGGGATTTTTTTCATTTGATGATAAATGTTAAAAAGAACCCAATAATTGATGCCTCTATCTCTATTTATATCCTCGTTTTTTCAGAAAACATTAAAAAATGTCTGACTGTTAAGATAAATTTTGTTTTCTCTATCTTAATTTTGTGAATTTTTTTTGTGGATTTCAAATGATTTGAAAACAGCTCTCTAAATTTATATTTTAAGAAGATCAGTTAAATAAGTTTGTTATTGGATAATTAATACTGCGAACACCCCCATTGAAAAGTACAGATAGTTGTCAAAAGTGTCCAATAAAATAGTTAATATGATACTTTATTTTAAATTTTAAACGTTTTAAAACGTTCTACAAACTTATTGTAACACTTCAAAATCAAATATTGTCTTCTTTGTCCATATTTAGACTCAAGTGTTCTAAAACATATATGATAGAGGAGGTATCTAGTCCCTTATAAGACAAATCTTTGCTCCCCCTCCCAACCGATATGAGACCTTACGTGGTTGCTTAAAAGAAACGCGATACTAAAATAAATTGAAACAAGTGTTAACACGAAACATTCATAGGCCTGAGCCATATATCGGGATAGAGATTTATCGTGTTTAACTACATCTATCAATATAAATCATATAATATGCATCAGGGGGTTTAATATTTTGAGAATCTATATATTGTGATAACCGTAAAAACTATTAGAATAAGGTATTGTTTCACTTATTTTCACATTATTATTTTTTATCTATGACTAGAATTTAATATATTAATTAACATATATTTGTTTTATAATGTTTTTTTTGTTCATATGTATTCAGTTAACAGTTTTAAACTTTTTGGTTGTATTTTTTGTTTCACAGACGTATAAAAAATGTTCACATTATGAAACAAACACATTGCAAAAAAAAAAAAATATTAAATCAATATATACACTAAACCCAAGCAGTAAATGAAAAATGAAAACATGTAAAATAACATATGATACACCAGTTATCAAGATTATTATAATTTTATGGGTTCTAAAACAAAAATCCGCATATGCATTATTCTTACTAGAAAGGTACTCGCACAATAAAGCGGAATACATCTTTATTTTAATGTTTCGTTTTATTTTTTGTCTCTGTTGATATAATAAGGTTTATGTGGTTTTGAGAAAGATAATGTTTTTACTTTTGGATAAAATTAAATTTGACGATATTATAAAATTTTCAAAAAATATATCGATATTAATATCAAATTAACTATTTAAAAGTTCTAGTTTTTTATACAATTTCTTTGATTCAATTTTTTTATTATAATTTAATTTAGGTCAGCTAAGTAATTTATTGTTGGCTTAACAATATAATTTTTATATAGATAATGATTCTGCTAGAACTCAATGATTATCCTAATTATATTTTAGATTTTTTATATTTAAAATAAAATGTTTATCATGTATTTAATTATATTTATCTGCAATTAGTTATACAAATTAAAAAAATAGAGCTTTAATAAATTATACTTACGCACAATTTACTTGTAGTATTAAACTTTAAGTAATACGTATTAATAAACAGTACTTCATGTGTAAAGAACAATTTTTAAGATTTTTTATGAAATGCTTTATAATATAATAGAAAAATAAATGCTAGATATTGACAAAAACATTAAAAAGGTGAAACATGTGAATATTTGACGATTGGGTCCGACAAACGCACGAGTTGTTGGGTCCATCATTTTTTTGGGGAGTGCTAATGGCACCCCTTTAATAGGGGTGTTGATTGCTTGGAACTTGTGCATTTCTAAAACATGAAATCGATTTAATAGTATATCTTATTTAATTATCATTATTTTTAATACATATATATGTTAATTAAGCTATATATTATATATATATACTTTACGTATATTTTACATATATAT